CAATTCCTGAGGACCCCGAATTGCCCACACTACTGCCATCAAAATTCAACTTCATCCAGCCACTAATTGGGGATGACCAGACCACAAATTCTGTCTTCCAGAGGATGAACCAGCTATTATTGCTTCCCAAGATCTGAAGAAGTTTTCTACCTTGAAGCCTGAGAAAAGTTTCAAGATCTTGACCCAATGTGCCACTCTTATGGTTATCATTTCTAGCAAAGTCTCCTTGCTCCTTTCATTGTCCCCAAAAATTCTTGAGTTTCTTTCTTCCCACATTGTCCAAACCACTGCGGCCCTAGTACATCTCCACAAGATCCTGCCCCTTCTTTTAGTGCAACTAAAAACAGAAGGGTCAAACAACCTTTCCAAGCTATTAGAAGGGTTCCACCTGTAACCGAGAAGAAAAAGAAACCAATCCCAAATAAAACCAGCAAAGGGACAGGAGATTAAAAGATGAATAGCAGTCTCACCATTTAACTTCCATAAGGAGCACCAATTGGAGGACAAGAATTAATGCAACCATGACATTTTCCAGAAGAAAGCACTGATCTTTGGAGGAATGGGATAACACCATATTTCTTTAACAGGGAAAGAAGGGGAAGTGGCTACAAGGGAGTTAAAAAAGGAATTGCAGGAGAACAACCTAGCATGATTAGGGGTCCACACCCTATTATCCACCCCACTTTATTTTCTAAACTTCCATTCTGATTACCTCCATGCAACAAATGCATTTTGAAACTAGTCCTATTTTGCAGCATCTCTTATTTTCATTAGTTGGCAATCTGCATTTATTGCTGACTATACATAATAAATAGTTTTTTTTTGGGGGGAACTTTTCCATGCCATACCTATCTCAACCAATTAATTTTTGTGACCCTTAGTCTTATCTTGTCCAAAGCTGACTTCAAAGTAAATAACCATTAGTGTTTAATTCCCATGTAATACCTTGCAAATGTGTTATTTTAAAGCATGAATTTTAAGTTGAGCAACAAGGTTTGAGTTGAAAGTTCAAATTGGGGTCCACACCAGTGACCATTTCTGTCCAGAACATCTTAATCAGAAATTCTAGGTTTCATATGTCACTTAAGTCATCATGTAATCACATAAATGTTGCTTATTTCAATATTTTACATTTTGTTAACATGAGATGATATATTTGTCAATGGACATATACATAATCGAATATAACCTATCTTTAGATTTAGAGAGGTAATAGACAGTTTTTAAAGTTGGGTATCAAGAAAAGTCTACAAACTTCTAGCTTGATGAAATGTCTGCCCACTACAAATCATCCCAAAATCTGATTTTCCCCTAAACAAGGACCATAGAAGATAAAACAAAAGAATAAGTTGAGGACAGAACAGTGTTTTATAGCACAAGGCACAAACAAAGTGCAAGGGGCTTTCTGCACCCAAGGTGCAAGGCGCAAGGCAAGACATGCACCTTTTTTAAAGCAAGGTGCAAATTAAAAAATCAAAAAGATGCAAAAAATATCAGAAACTGCAAAAAAAATCAAAAACATATATATTAAAATAGTATTATTTAAATATATATATATATAATAGAAATAGGAAAGAGGGCGGGGGAGGGGTTCTCTCACCATAGAGTTCACACATATCTCCTCCTCCTCTCCTTTGTCACACATGTGCATATTTACTTTTAAATTAAATCATTAAAAATATAACAAGTCAAAATTAAAACCCTCATTCTTCATTTCTCCCATAAAATGCATATTTATCTCTAATTAAGAAGATCATTCTTAAATCTAATATCTCTCTCTCTCCCACCCACCCCAACCACTTTAATAGTCAAAGTTTGTAACATCTCCCCTCCCCATTAAATCCCTCTTTTCCTCTTAAATATCTATTAATCCCTTTTGGCTCTTTCTAATAAAGTAGAGTTATAAATTAGATGGATTGGGTTAGGTTAAGGGCCAACTCTAAATATGAACCCTAGCTTGGACAAAACCTAAATTTGCCCACCGAGTACATGGGGTGAACCAATCTTCTTCTTCTATAAAAGCCTAAAGAAACCATTTCACCTTTCCATTGGTTATTAGGTTTTTCTCTTTTTATGTCTTAATTTAATGTAGTTTTGTTTCATAGACTGTTTTGGTTCAATAATAAAATGCAATAAGAAAGCACTTAACGGGAGCCTTTAGTTATCTTTGTCAATTCAATTTTGAAATTGTTTTTAACTTGGTTATTTATCATATGCTAAGCATATTTTTTGGCTTTATAGGGCTACACAATGGAGTAGCCTATCCCCTGAACCCTTAACCCCAACCCCAGTGGTAGTGGGATTTGATCCTAGGTCTCGTTACAACTAACTAGAGAACCTACCAAGTCACCATCAGTTGGTTTTTCACGCTAAGCAGTTATTTTTATGTATTTCTCATAATATATAAGTTATATAAAAAGGAATAAGTTTGAATCTCAATATCAATAACTAAAAAAATAAAATTATTTTTTATTATTTTATATGTAAAGAACTAGAAATATATAAAAAATTTTGATGAATAATTGTTACTTCATTTTTTTCTTAAAAATACAGTTTTAAACAGCAGCCCGTGCATTGCATGGATCACCGCTTGTATTTAAAATAGAAGAATAAGTTGAGAGGACAAAACAGTGTTTTAAAAGTACAAGGAGCTTTTTGCGCCCAAGGTGCAAGGCACAAGGCGAGGCATGCGCCTTTTTGAAGCAAGGTGCAAATTAAAAAAAAATCAAAAAAGATGCAAAAATATAAAAAAAAAAAAAAAAAAAAAACTATTAAAATAGTATTATTTAAAATATATATTTAAACTAAATGTTTTAAAAAGCTTATTAGCTCAAATTTAAATATACAAATGTAACATATAATGCATATTCAGAGTGAAAATGTAAAAATAATATTAAATATAACATATAAACATATTCATGCACTCAACAATTCAAGCACATGTAACTTTTAATCTCTTTATTTCTTTCCTAATCATATACTCTAATTCTATGAGATGCTTTATACCAAGCCCCTTGAGGCAAGGCCAAACAAATCCATGTTAGAGTCCCAAATACCACTTTTGGTTGTAGAGCCCTGTGCCCTATTTGTTCTTTTTTAATCAATCTACTTCCATTTTTTGAGTCGCTTTCCACCACAATATGTTTCAAGTTCAGTGTTTTCCCTATTTATGAACCTTTCTACACCACCTTAATTGAACAAGGATTATTTCTGTATTCTCCTACACCTGTTCTCCCAGGGTTTCCTAGGCTGCAACCATCAAAATTAAACTTCACTACTCCACACCTAGGTAGGATCCATTGCCATTAAGGTCTAGATCTGTATGATGATAAGTTTGCTTCCCATTACAAACCTCTCAGCATGTCATCTAAGGTAAACTGGTCAATAAATCCATTGTCTTGGCCCAATTGCACTATTTTCACTTAAATATTTTCAATCAAGCCCTCCTCAGTTCTTTCCTTCCCATTGAAAATTCTATTACTTCTTCCCATACAGTTCAAATGACCGGTTCCCTCATACATCTCAAATAGCACTTTTCCCCTTCTATATGGCTGTGAGAAAAAAGTGATCTTAAAGAGGCTTTCCACATCAGTAGGAGGAATCCACCTAACACACAAAAACAGCAAAGAACCAAGTCCAAACACTAGCATCAAATGAACAAGAGATTAGTAGGTGATGAGTTGATTCTCTCTACTTGCATAACATAGAAAACAGATGTGAGGCGATAAGCACCAATAGGGTTTCCTCTTTTGAAGAGTTTCAAAGGTTCTAATTTTGAGGCAAAAAACTTTCCAATAGAATGTTCACTCTTGGTGGCACAGGTAAAAAGGGCAACCCGGTGTATGAGGCTCCCACCAATGCAGGGTCTGGGGAGGGACAGATGTACGCAGCCTCACGCCTGCACATACAGAGAGGCTATTTCCAAGATTTGAACCCTGGTCATCCAGGTCGCAATGGAGGAACCCAAATTTCTTGGTGGCACAAGTCCACTCCAAATGTCTTCCCCAGGGAAAGTTTTGTGGAACACTAGGGCCAATAGACAGGGACCTGAAAAGGAGACACAAAAGAACAAACCTGAGGCACAAGCAGTACAAATCCTGCCATTGGGCTTGGAAGAGTCCAAAACACTATCTAAGGAGTTCAACAAAGTGACAACCAAAGGGGTTTCAAAGTCCCCAGACCTCTCCTAAATCAAGCATACTAATATAACCCAGTGTTTGACAAGGAAGATAGGTTTTGCTTGGTAAGAAGAGATAGAGAGGAGATAGGCATTCCCTCTCTCTCTCTCTCCCATTCTTCTCCACATTCTTGATTTCAAGATCTCCGCAACAGCCAGTACTCAGACATCATAAAACTTGGGAAGCATCAGTAAATGGCACCACTAGATGACTAATATCCATCCCAGGTAAGTTTCTTAGTCAGTTCCATCAAACCTAACCATTCTCACACTCTCTCAGGTGAGAAACTTCTCTCTGAAAATTGACCCTCCCCTAAAACCGATGAAAACCAATCTAATCTGGATGCCCACCATAGTTTAACCCCAAACGTTCATCTAAAAACAAATTCTAAAAATTCCATTTAAATCCCTTGTTTCTAGAATTTCCCTATTTTGTAGCTTTAGAAATCTTTCATCTTTATGTAAAATTTTGTTAAGAAACTCTCCATAACCAAATGGCACATCCCTATACCTGTGAAAGAAACAGTTATTCCTCAGCCTAGGATCATGCAAGTCCTGCATTACTATGAGTTGATGATTTTTTTTTCGGAGTGGAGTGGAGCTCTGTAGTAATCCTCTTTTTGTAAACCTAAACCTACATCCTTTCATGTTACTCCCATTCTTTTGCCTTAATGAATAGTTATCACGTCTAAAAAATTGTAATACAGAATAAACTTTTTAGTGGTAAATTAACACAGAATAAATAAAAGAGGCAAAATAAAGTTTCTATTCAAACATACTTATGGCTACATAACTAAAAGCCATTAGTATTTTGAAAACATACCATCTTCTGTATCCAATGGTCCAATATGCTTAGACAGAGCCTTGTTCATTTGAAACATATTGATGGAATCAACACCAAAAAGGGAGCGCAATTTTTCATCACACATTATATTTCTTTTGTTGTTTGGATCTTGCAAATTCTTCTCCCGGATGTATACCCATAGCTGCTTGACAACCTACAACAAAAATGTAAAAGTGCAAGAAGTACGATGACAAGAACACTTTTATATCCTAAATTAACTAATGACTAAAAGAAGTTTCTAGAAATTTATAAGCATACTTACCTCAGTTCTGGCCATTTCAGGTACTCCAACAAATTTCTTAAGTTGAGGAGAAAGAGTGCATAATTTGGTAAACCCACCTCCTCTTTTTTTTACCTCTTTGCTAAGCTTGTTTGATCTGCTTAATAAGATAAAACCACTACTTATTTAGCAATGCCAGCAACCTGAATGATTATCTACAACAAAAATATCTCACATTCCATTACAAAGAAAGCAAAAGCATTACCCCATTCTTTTAGAGTTAAAACGTCATGGGTACACTTCAGATAAGATGTGACTGAAGACACACAAGAAATATAATAACGGTATAACAGAAATTCAAATAATGGTGTAACAAAAATTCAAATAGTGGTATAACAGAAATTCAAACAATGGTGCAACAGAAATTCAAATGGCGGTATAACAGAAATTCAAATAGCGGTATGACAGAGGTTCAAATAATAGTACAACAGAAATTTAAATAATGGGAGTTCAAATAACGGAAAAGCAGAAATTCAAATAAAGGTACACAAAAATTCAGCCAGAGTAGATTACAAATTGGAAGCACACGACTGAAATATGACAAACAAATAAATGACAATAGTAATAGGAGTGAAAACAGATTACAAACAGAAATATGATTAAGAAGGAAAAAAATATAGACTACAAAGAATAGTTAAGATAAGATGGTGACTCAGCAATGGAAACTTGTGACAGCTGAATACTAAACTAAATCACAGACTATAGGTAACAGATACAAGTCTCAGGCCAACAAGTAGATAGTCGCTAATGAATAGAAAGACTAAATAAATTGATCAAATTAGCAGAATCTCAATAATATTCCAGACTGATTCTTTTTCATGAGAAAGAGGTCCTCTACAACTAGTTATACCAGGAATCAAGTGAAGTTTGAATGTCCTTTAGGTTTTAAATGTTTAGTGGTTTGGATTAAGCATCTTAGTGTATCGATTAGTTTTGTTAAGCTACTATAGTGTGTGTATTACAAAGTAAATTCAGCTATGACAGATTTGTTAGGAAAACCAAGATAGACAAAAAGGGTTTAGGACTTCCCTTGGAGAGGAGCGTAATCCAACACAGCTGGGCAAATAATATCCTCCTTTTTGCAGAAATGGCGTAATAGGAAGTGTGGCCAAGGTACATTGCCATCACATCTCTGTCCCTCTCGCATCTTACAGCTCTAGCCATTGGGGGAGATAGTGGGCTGTGAAACAGCCCTGTTGTGAAGCCGAATAGATGGCTGAAAAAGGTTTGCCCCAGTGAAATAATAAAAAAAAAAAACAAGAAAATGGCTGATAAAACTTGAATTGAACTTGGATGTTGGGTCGAGAAAGTGTCGATTAGAAGCCTTTCACCTTGAAGAGGTGAGGAGGGGAGGTGAAAGGGGCTTTTGGGATTTAAAAGGTTCTAGGAGGAAGACGTTAAGGCTTCCTCCTAGAATGGAAAGAGAGGGCACGGGAGTGGAGAGGGGATGAGGGGAAGCCATAAATGGAAGGGAAGGAATAATGGTGGAGAAGAGAAAATAGTGGAGCAGAAATCAGGGAAGGAGATTGGACGGAGAAATGAGAGGAGATAAGAAGCATCAAGGGAGAAAAGAGAAAAAAGGGAAGGAAAGAAAATAAGGAAAAACGGGTGGGGCCCACAGGGGAGGAAGAGGAAATTAATTTACAAAAATAAAAATAAAAAAAAGGTCGATGCTTACAGCGTCATTCAACAAAATCATAATACCATGATAGAAACGGCATAACAGCCATGTCATATATCTTGAACACACTCATTAGGACTATTCTAAACTCATAAGATGGTAAATTCTCAAACATGGTATCTGACATGATAGAAAGAGGACAGTGCAGCAAGCTTGGTAGAAACTAGTGCTTGTGTTGTCACAGGGTAGGGTCTGATTCCAAATTCTTGGAACCGACCCCCACCCAAGCTGGTTCCAGGGTCTAGGGGTTTACCCTACCCAAAACAACCTGGAGAACCGGCCTTGGTGCAACTAGCCTTGGAACCGAATAAATCTCAAAATACTTTGAGAATGTGATGATTTGAACCCAAGCACTCATGTTTTACAAAGGCCATAGTCTCACTTTACCACTGAGTCACTTATTTTCATTTTTAATATTTGAATGTGTATAATAAGTAATGTAAAAGGTAAATTTTACAAAATTTAAATTATAATGATAAGCTTTTAACCATATATTAATATATTATGATAACCTACATATTAAATTACTCAATTTAATTTCCACCAAAAAAGTTGATCAATATAGATAATATATGTTGTGAACTATATATTATAATTATTGAAAATCAAGTTTTTAAAGAACAAGTTCCTTTTTTTTTNCGGGGTGGAGTAAAGAAAGAACAGGTTCCATAGGTAGACCCTGGAACCAGCCTTCACAGGGTAGGTTCCAGGTTCTGCCTTGGAACCAAACCAAACTGACCCATGCTCACCCCTAGTAGAGTATACGCATAAGTTCTCCATCATTCACACAAATGCATTTTCTATCAAATTGTGTATATGTTTGTGCTTGTATGATACAAATGTATGCATAATTAATAACAGAAAGACTTCACTAACATACAAGTGTAAAATTAACAATTAAAACAGAACAAATCATCATTTAACCAAAAAAATCTACCTAAAAAGATAAAAAAATGCAAAAGATAAATGTTTCCATTTTCGTAATCTCTTTCCACTCTCTTCTAAAATCAACTATCCCCGTATCTTGAAATTTTCTAATATAAAATTTAAAAAAAAAAATATCCTAGACGACAGATCATAGATCCCAGTAAATCATTTGAAGTGGATAAGAGACTCCTTGATCCCCTTTTTTTGTCTTTTTTGCAGGTAAAGTCTAAGCATTGCAAAACACTGTACAAAAATTAACTTGGCAATTTATCTATTCACTCAAGTGGGACTCGGAAATGATACAACTTCAGTCATTATAAAAATAGGTGAAGTTCAGCCCCCAATGTCCTCCTCTATTGCTTGAAAACCAAAAATAGATAAATTTCCTTCAAAAACTTTGTGTTTCTTCCTACCAAATCCTCCCAAATATTCACAAAAGAAACATCTTCCATTAAGATATGATAACAAACAAGCTCAAAACAAAACAGAGAACCAAGACAGCATCACTCCATCAAGCCTAGGATGGCAAACCCAATCGCAATTGAAAAACAGGAAGAAATTTGAAGTATCTCTTGTAATGTACTTTTTTTATAAGCAAAATAGAGAAGATCAATTCATTAGAATTTAAAAGAGGGAGATAACAACAAGAAGTTGTGAAAAGAAAAAACAGAGAACCCAAAAACAAACAAACCAACCAGAAACTTCTTTTTTTTATAATTAAACCACCCAGAAATATTACAACTGTTACCAGTACATAATCTTGTCTTTAAACCCTTTGCTTGGCTAGGACATTTCCCAAACTATTTGCAGATCTTCTAACCCAATTAATTTGAAAATTCATATCTTTTGAGAGTCATTTGAAGCGTCTGAAATCATTCCTTAGGTTCCAAATCACCCCCCCCCCCTTTCAGCCATCCCACAACAATTTTCGAGTCCCATTCAATGATCAAACTTCTAATGCCCAATTCTTTGGCTTTTTCAACGCCAAAAACTGCAGCTAAGAACTCCACTCTAACTGCATCTCTTGCATGTATATTACCTTCCTCATCCCTAATGGCCCCTCCAATTCCTGAGGGCCCCAGATTGCCCACACTACTACCATCAAAGTTCAACTTCATCCAGCCACCAATTGAGGGTCACCAGAAAACAAATTCTCTGTCTTCTAGAGGATGAACCAGCTATAGCCCCCTAAGATCTGAAGAAGTCTTCTACCTTGAAGTTTGAGAAGAGTTTCAAGGTCTTGATCCAATGTGCCACTCTTATGGTTATGATTTCTATCATATTCTCCTTACTCCTTCCTTATCCCCAAAAATTCTTTAGTTTCTTTCTTCCCACACTGTCCAAACCACCATTGCCCTAGTACATCTCCACAAGATGCACCCCTTCTTTTAGTGCAACTAAAAACATAAAGAGTCAAACAACCTTTCCAAGCTATCAAGAGGGTTCCGCTTGCAACCAAAAAGCAAAAGAAACCAATCCCAAATAAAGCTAGCAAAGGGGGCAGGAGATTAAGAGATGAAAAGCAGTCTTGCCATTCAACTTACATTAGGAGCACCAATTGGGGGACAAGTACCAGTTTGGTCTTTTCCTTTGAAGCAGATCACAAGTATTAATGCAATCGTGAAACAATTCCCAGCAGAAATCACTAATCTTTGGGGGAATGGGATAACACCAGATTTCTTTAATAGGGGAAGAAGGAGAAGGGGAAATGGCTACAAGGGAGTTAAAAAAGGAATTACAGGAGAACAACCCAGCAGGATTAGGGGTCCACACCCTATTTTCCACCCCACCTTCCCCAAAAACCACAAGAATCAGAAAGCTCATTAAAGAAGACACAAGGGGAATTTCAAACTCTCTAAGATTCCTAGTAAAGCCCAACTTCCAACTCAGCCCAGAAAGAGAAGGGTGAGGACTAATAAACTCAAACACAGATCTACCTTTGAGATTGGATATAGCAAAGAGTGAGGGGAATTCCTCTTTTAGAAAGACAAGAAGGATATTATGAATAGCTTTCCAAGGAGCAGCCAGAGTAGCTCTATGTAGCCAACCAGTATCCCATCCATTGTTTGAAAGCCCATGGATGCTTGCTATAACTTTGTGCCATAGCCTCTCATTTTCCTTAGAAAACCTCCAAGGCCACTTGCTTAGTAAGGCTAGATCCTTCCTACTAATATTTCTGATCACCAAGCCCCCTTCTTCCTTCTTTTTTACCACGTTTTTCCCATCTTACCAAGTGATCTTTCTTCCCTTCCCCCGGTTCTCAAAAATAAAATCCCACAATCTTTTCAATCTTTTTCACAATTACTTAAGGCATCCTAAAGACAGGCATGTAGTATACTAGAAGGTTAACTAGAGTAGATTTGATCTAAGTTACTCTCCCGTCAAAGAGATATTATTCCTTTTCCAACCAGCTAGTCTTTTCTCAAACCTTTCCACCACTGGATTCCAAAAGCTAGATGATCTAGGGTTATCACCTAGGGGTAGTCCTCAAC